CGCCCGACTTTATCCTCATTGATGGTCAAAAACGAACGATCGTTTTCCGAAAAAGGATCACAAAGGCCACAAAATGACATCATTTCCCGTTATAGGTTACTCATTAATCGGCCGATTTTCGTAATAATTGGTGGTCAGGTAAGTTTTTTAGACCGACCGATAGTTCGTTAATCGGCCGAAAATCTGCCGTTTTTCTCCCCATCTATGGCCTGCATTACTCTGAAATAGTCTATTCATTTTCAAATCAAACTGTTAATTCTCTTTGGTTTACTGTTTGTAGGACTGGTGGCTGCTATGCCTCCTATTCCCACAGTCACTGGTCTTAGCACATCCCTTCTGTAGTTCTTTCTCCAGAAAGCCGTTATATAATTCAGCCCCACTTGCAGTGGTGGGTGGACTGGGACTCTCAGACACATTCAACGTGTACAGGCCTAGTGTACCCACCCACATTCACTACAATTCCTTGACTGATGGGAACTGTAGTTTCCTTTTACTGCAGAGAGAGGAGAGGATATGATGTACTCCTTGTTGTTACACCTCCTCCTTGACAGAGCAGATGCTGTTATCTTTTACAGAGATAAGGTCATTAAAATTCAATTAGACTTTCTCCTAAATGGAGGGATTGTAAGGATTTTCCAAATTTTCAAAATTGTATTAACTGTTTAGTGTTTTGTGTAGGGGGTGTACTAATGGGTGATTTCAGTTGCCTATCCTGGAGTTCTTCTTTAACAAATTTCAATATATTTAAAAAAAAAAATAAGCAAGCAAATTAGCAAAATAAAATATTGCAAAATAAAAATGATTGATGTTGTTTTTATGAATGATTTGGGTTGTTTGAATGCCATCTACAATCCCCTGTAGTATTATTAGTAATATCAAAGCAATATCTTAATTACAACACAAATTCATCGCTACCTAACAATTGGGAAAATGCTCTGGAGGTTCTAAGTGTTAGTGACCCACTTAATCCACTCTCTGTATTTACTTCTGTGACTGCCTTACTGCTTAATGTGTAATAAATCTGACATATGACCCTTTTAGAAAGGTTTGGGTAAACCTCTGGATATAAATAGAGCTAGGCGAGCAACAAACTGCAGTAGGGAGCTGTATGATTCTGTTTAATGTAATCCTTAAGGTGGCTGAAGAGGCCATTATAGAGGTCATGTAAAGGTGGCTACAAACAGGTCATACGGAGAGCCAACCAATACACTGGGTTGATTTACTAAAGGCAAACAGACTGTGCACTTTGCACATGCAATTACACTCTCCAAGCACATTTTCTCCAGAGTTTAGTAAATGAGGGAAGCTCTGCTGATTTTATTTTTCATCCAATCATGTACAGGCAAAGATGCAGTTTTTATTTTTTAATAATCTTTGCATGTGATTGGGTATTCTTTGCAAAGTGAAGCGTCACCGCATTCACTAAGCTCTGGAGCAAATGCACTTGCAAAGTGCACAGTCTATTCGCCTTTAGTAAATCAACCCCATTGACTATGATAAAAATCATTTGAAGGACATACAAATACTTTCCTGTATGAAGCAAGTTTCTTCTATAGAAAGCCAGAATGCCTATAATATAGTAAAATTCAGGGTGAAATAACTCTCAAACATCCAATCAGAAACCATCATTTGGCTGACTATTTCATGTCTACTTGTTTTAAGGCAGGTGAACATGAACATTTTTTTTTTAAAGGGCTTGTTCACACTTGACTTTATTTCTAACTCTTGCCAAACGCCCCTATAGCGTTTGACAAGCGTTAGACAGGCGTTTGGGAAGCGTTTTTAATGCTCCTCAAACGCCCTATGCGCGGTTTTGAGGTGGTTGATAGGTGTTTGCCAAGTGTTAAAACCGCACCACAAACACCTATAATGAAGTTAAATGGTATTAACACTCCGCAACCGAGTCGCAAACGCCTGTCAGGCGTTTGGGGAGCGGCATCATAGACTTTAATGGGAGGCTTCAACTACTCACTGGACAAGAGGCGTCAGTTTTGCCACGACGCAACGCTAACGCTTCAGTGTGAACAGCACTGTGTGCTGCCATGTGCAGAATTTTCATAGGTGTTTGAGAAGTGTTAAAAACCTGCTAACAAAGCTAGTGTGAACTGAGCCAAAGTGTTACTAAACCCACAACTGTAAAATCAGTCTGTGTATGCAGTAAACCCTCTGCATTATGTAAAAAAGGCTGTTTGATCCTTTCTTCTCTGTTCCTCCCTTTTTTCAAGTGACCACCTCTTATCTCCTGATAAGACAAACTGAACCGTAGGCATTTTGCACATTGCTTAATTTGGTGTGTATTGCTAGAGAGGTTTTTTTTTTTTGCTTGGGAGAGTGCATGTGATCAGCACAGGGCCAATCAGCACTGGTCAGACAGAGGTCACGGGTTTTGCATCCTCCTAGAGCAGAAAGAAAACTCCTCCTACAAGCTTTAGCTAGGGCTGGGCTGGACACTGATAGAAAGTCAGAAGACTGCTCTAATTTCTGATGAGAAAAGGTATTTAGCAGTTTATATTTACTAAAATAATTGCACTTCCATGTTCGCTTTACTGTGGGAGACCAGATATAGTGAATGCAGGGTCCTGGGTTTAGTAACACTTTAAGTCTTGTATCATTTTCAGGCTTCTTTTTGTCCTGCGCTCGCTCCCTACCGTCCACTGATGCAGCTCACCACTACTAGTGTACAGTGAGCAATACCATTATTTCTGGCAACATGCCCTGCACTTAGCACACTACATTTCCACAGAGCTGCATGCGCATGCACGGACATGTGCAGTCCAAATCGGAGGCAAGCAGGAAAGGGTGGCTATGTTCACATACACATGGGGGGAATGGAGAACAAACGTAGCCACCATAGGACAGGTCTAGTCTGAGAATAGCAGAAAAAATAATTGCTTTTGATAAATGAAAGCAAGGAAGAGAGACATAAAAGGTACATATTTTATTATATTAGATTTATTTTATTTTATACAACAATGGGAATTTATTGTCGTTTTGAAAAGCTGATTTGTAATTGCTAAGATAATTGCAATTTTACTGCACAAAAATTCTAGAACATTAAAATTTTTATCCTGCAGCTGTTCTGTTATTATTGTCTCCAACATGTACACTGTGGCCCATTTCAGACGGGTCAGACTCTGTCAAGAGGATCCACCTGCTCAGCAGGGGATCTCTCTGCAGATTCCTGCTGAGCAGGCGGATGACAGATCTGTGTCCGCTCCGCTATGCAGAGCGGACACAGACACAGCACAGCCCACTGTTTTATATGGGGTGGTCGGATGGAAACGGACCGCCTGTCCATTTCTATTCGACTGTCATCTGATCCTATCGGATCCCTATGTGTCTGTTTTACCGTATAGGATCAGATTGGGTGCCGGCGGCTGTCAACAGTCGCTCCATAGAAAGCTATGGATGGTCCGATCTGACAACCGGACCCGATTGAACCGTCAGTGCGAAAGGGGCCTATGGGGTTGATTTACTAAAACTGCTGCTCTCAGAATCTAGTGCAGCTGTGCATGGTAGCCTATCAGCTTCCAAGTTCAGGTTGTTCAATTAAGCTTTGACAATAAAACCTGGAAGCTGATTGGTTTCTAGGCAGAGCTGCACCAGATTTTGAACTTGGAAGTTTTAGTAAATAAACCCAAACAAATTAATAAAACACATTTCCCTGTCAATATTACCTATACTATTCTCTGCTGCTTCCAGTGATTGATATACTTTGAATGACAGGTACTCTTAGATAACTGATGCCGGTTTTTAAATAATCTTTGTGCTGAAAAAACAACAAAAAGAGTTTTAGCTTTGCATGCAGTGTCGTCTTACAAAGACTCAAATACTATAAAATATTTTCCAGTTACAGTCATATCTGTTAATAAACCCTATCACTTGTAATGGGTGGATTTGTGTTTGCCTTTGAAGACAGTGAGGGTGCATTACTCTGATTAAACTATCCAAAGAGCACTGCTGGGTCTGCATAGGCAATTACACAAGTCATTTCAGGCACTTGCTCTTGATAAACTACGGCATACAACACATTGCCTTCAGGCTATTTAAAATACAACCAAGGCAAAAAAAAGTCCTAGTGTATTTCTTCCAGTACAGTCTTGTTGTACTGGTCTGATCATTTTTAAGCGACAATGCTGATTTTTTGTTCTCATTAACATATACGTAAATTAAAACAGGGTCACCTATCACCTATTTTATTTTTCTTAATAATTCTCAAAAATGTTATTAGAATGTAGCATTGCAATCAAGATTACAATCTGTTATGTGTGATACACCAAGCCAATGCATGAGATCCAAGAAAATGGGTACTCCATCAATGAAAGAATGCAAAATATAATAATATTTGACTAATGGCAGTAACTGGATACATAATCATGCTGTCTATTATTTCTTCTCTATATAGGTTCTTGCACCTATCACTAAGTGAAATCCGTGCAGCCGCACCACTTGCACAAAGAAATGCGGACCTGCGGGCGGGTGCCATTAGTTCTAATGGCACACCGCCCGCACTGGATGCAACTGTACTGGGAACTGAGGTTCCCGTGCGGGCTGCGTTTTCCAAAGAAGTGCAGGTGCTTCTTCCCTGCGTGTCACGGGGCACGGGAGTCTATTCAAATGAATGGGCTCTCGTGCACACGCAAAACGCGGCCCGCATGGCCACATATATGTGAACCAGGGGTAATAGAGCAGGATCACCTACCGTATTTTTCGCTCCATAAGACGCACTTTCCCCCCCCCCCCAAAAAGGGGGGAAAATGTCAGTGCGTCTTATGGAGCGAATGTAAAGCGGCCGGTCCGGTATTTCTGCTGCCGCCACCATGTCAGAATATCGGGCTGGCCACTCAGCTCTTCTCTCCTGCAGGACCTTACCTGTTCCTCGCTCCAGCGCTGCAGTCTACCCGCGGCGGCTTCTGTGACAGCCGGGTGCCCACTATGCATGCGCGAGAAGCGCTGCATTTTGTGAATGGTCCGGTATCTTCTGGGACACATGACAGGTTCCAGAAGGCTCCGGGCCATTCACAAAGCGCAGCGCTTCTCGGGCATGCGCAGTGGGCACCCGGCTGTCACAGAAGCCGCCGCGGGAAGAAGGAAAGACAACTCCGCGGAAGTGGGAGCGGGCACCTGTCAAATTCAGGTCCCTGCTCCCCCTCCCTCCCCAAAGGTCCGCAGTCTCTGGTAATCTCTTTTACTGTCTGCAGTCTCTGGTCATCCCCTGTACTGTGTCCGCAGTCTCTGGTCATCTCCTGTACTGTGTCCGCAGTCTCTGGTCATCTCCTGTACTGTGTCCACAGTCTCTGGTCATCCCCTGTACTGTGTCCGCAGTCTCTGGTCATCCCCTGTACTATGTCCACAGTCTCTGGTCATCCCCTGTACTAAGTCCACAGTCTCTGGTCATCTCCTGTACTATGTCCGCAGTCTCTGGTCATCTCCTCTACTGTGTCCGCAGTCTCTGGTCATTCCCTGTACTGTGTCTGCAGTCTCTGGTTATCCCCTGTACTATGTCCACAGTCTCTGGTCATCTCCTGTACTGTGTCCACAGTCTCTGGTCATCTCCTATACTGTGTCCGCAGTCTCTGGTTATCTCCTGTACGGTGTCCGCAGTGTCTGGTCATCTCCTGTACTACGTCTGCAGTCTCTGGTCATCTCCTGTACTGTGTCCGCAGTCTCTGGTCATCTCCTGTACTGTGTCCGCAGTCTCTGATCATCTCCTGTACTGTGTCCGCAGTCCATTGGTTCAGAATATTTTTTTTTATTGTTTTTCTCCTCTAAAACCTAGGTGCGTCTTATGGTCAGGTGCGTCTTATGGAGCGAAAAATATGGTATTTAGTACGTATTTCAAAAATCTGTTAAATTAGTTTTTTGGGCAACTGAATGTAAGCCAACTTGGGACCTACATCCAATTACCGGTGCTTCCTAGTCAGTGCAGGCCCAAAAAATAAGAATGGAAAGGAGTCTGCGTTCTTTTTCCTTTTTCCAGACCTAAACAGATCAGAGGTAGTCTAATGCAATGGACAGTTTCATCCAGCCATCCATAAATCCAACATCGGTCCGAAAAGCTCCAGTTTGTAAATGCAGAAAAAGTGAACAGGCACAGATGTCACAAATGTGTCATCCATCACATTCTGCTCCGATTCAGCAAAGGATCTGTTTATGGATCTTCTGCTAATTGACCAGATGACACCCATGTGAAAGTGGCATAAGCCAATCTAGGCCTGCAAGCCAGCACCTGAAAAGCATCTCTAGAGCCTTGTATGTACAGTGGGGCAAAAAAGTATTTAGTCAGCCACCAATTGTGCAAGTTCTCCCACTTACAAAGATGAGAGAGGCCTGTAATTGGCATCATAGGTAGACCTCAACTATGAGAGACAAAATGAGAAAAAAAAATCCAGACAATCACATTGGCTGATTTGGAAAGAATTTATTTGCAAATTATGGTGGAAAATAAGTATTTGGTCAATATCAAAAGTTCATGTCAATACTTTGTTATATATCCTTTGTTGGCAATGACAGAGGTCAAACGTTTCCTGTAAGTCTTCACAAGGTTGGCACACACTGTTGCTGGTATGTTGGCCCATTCCTCCATGCAGATCTCCTCTAGAGCAGTGATGTTTTGGGGCTGTCCCTGGGCAACACAGACTTTCAACTCCCTCCAAAGGTTTCCTATGGGGTTGAGATCTGGAGACTGGCTAGGCCACTCCAGGACCTTGAAATGCTTCTTTCCAAGCCACTCCTTTGTTGCCCGGGCGGTATGTTTGGGATCATTGTAATGTTGGAAGACCCAGTCACGTTTCATCTTCAATGCCCTTGCTGATGGAAGGAGGTTTGCACTCAAAATCTCACGATACATGGCCCCATTCATTCTGTCCTGTACATGGATCAGTCGTCCTGGTCCTTTTGCAGAGAAACAGCCCCAAAGCGTGATGTTGCCACCCCCATGCTTCACAGTAGGTATGGTGTTCTTTGGATGCAACTCAGCATTCTCTCTCCTCCAAACATGACGAGTTGTGTTTCTACCAAACAGTTCTATTTTGGTTTCATCTGAACTTATGACATTCTCCCAATCCTCTTCTGGATCATCCAAATGCTCTCTAGCAAACTTCAGACGGGCCCGGACATGTACAGGCTTAAGCAGGGGGACATGTCTAGCACTGCAGGATCTGAGTCCCTGGCAGCGTAGTGTGCTACTGATGGTAGCCTTTGTTACATTGGTCCCAGCTCTCTGCAGGTCATTCACTAGGTCCCCCCGTGTGGTCCTGCGATTTTTGCTCACCTTTCTTGTGATTATTTTGACCCCACGGGGTGAGATCTCGCGTGGAGCCCCAGATTGAGGGAGATTATCAGTGGTCTTGTATGTATTCCATTTTCTAATTATTGCTCCCACAGTTGATTTGTTCACACCAAGCTGCTTGCCTATTGCAGATTCAGTCTTCCCAGCCTGGTGCAGGTCTACAATTTTGTTTCTGGTGTCCTTTGACAGCTCTTTGATCTTCACCATAGTGGAGTTTGGAGTTTGACTGTTTGAACTTGTTATCAGTATAAAAGACACCTGTCCACAACCTCAAACAGGTGCCATTGATACAGGTAATAAGTGCAGGACAGAGTAGCCTCTTAAAGAAGAAGGTACAGGTCTGTGAGAGCAAGAAATCTTGCTTGTTTGTAGGTGACCAAATACTTATTTTCCACCATAATTTGCAAATAAATTCTTTCCAAATCAGCCAATGTGATTGTCTGGATTTTTTTTCTCATTTTGTCTCTCATAGTTGAGGTCTACCTATCTTGCCAATTACAGGCCTCTCTCATCTTTTTAAGTGGGAGAACTTGCACAATTGGTGGCTGACTAAATACTTTTTTGTCCCCACTGTAAGTAGGCAAGCAGCACATCCTGTAACACTTCTGAATCCACACAACACTCATTTGTCAAGGTTTGGTTGTGTTCAAAATGGACTTGTGTTTACATTAACCTTCTTATACTGCAAGAAGCCATTCATAGTAAGCACTTAAAAATGTCAGATACCTTGTAGACCACCTCAGCAACACATAAGCCCTGAGACATCTACAATTTAAATACTTTTACACTAGACTAGTGGTGTGATGTGCACCCTCAATCTCGTTCATTGTTTCTCAACCAGTGTGTCATGGCCACCAGCACCGTAACAACCAATGGCTCCTCAATGGGGTACTATGTGATTGGGGGGGCTCTGTGGTGGAGGGAACTCTAATGTAATGGACTCATGCATAAGGGCCTTTAATGTATAGGTTTGACTCTGATGTGATGTGGGGCTCTCATGTGATGAGGGCCTCTTATGTTAAGGAGGCATCTGATGTGATGGTGGGGGGACCTCTGACGTGGTGGGGGAACCTCTGATGTGAAGGGGAGCTTCTGATGTGAAGATCACTTCATCAAGGCAGTTATATGCATAGTCCCTGGCTTATGTTTTTTACATTTTAAATTGTGGTGCTTGAGATTTTGCATGTTTTTAAAGCGTGCTACAACTGGAAGAAAAGTTAGAAATTGCTCCTCTAGTTCTCTGGCTGTGTCTGGCTTAAACCCTCACCTTGTGAAACAACCCAATTCAGTTTTAAATAGAAATTAAGTGAATAACATTTGTGTATCAATATAAAAAAAATACAAACACTTTTTCCCCAATTTTTATAAGTGATCACATTCCCTCTGTTCTCAACTGCATAGGAGCTGGGGGAGGAGAAACAACATGCACTGACTTTCCCATTGAAATGCTGTGCAGGGGAGGGGGGTGTCAGGACAAGACTGATCATTGGAGGAGAGCAGGCTGAGTTCCCAGCAAAGCTAAAGAACTGACCACTGTGTGTTCTCCTGCTTAGTGTGGTCAGTTTTTTAATAGGAAGCGGAGAGACTGGCAGGAACGCAAGGGATTCCACACACAAAAGGAGCAACACAAAGAAAAACAGGATGCTTTTTCAAACAAATACATAGTACAGCAGGCACATATCAGGAATTTGAAATGTTAGGTTTACATATCCTTTAAATACTTTTAAAATTGCAGATCCAGAATACTCATGGTGTAAAAAAGTGACCGATATTTAGTTCCAAGTCAGAGACACAGAAAGCATTAAAGTCAAAGGATCAGAATGGCAGCCAGGAAAATAACATTCTCAAAGGAGAGGCCAGCCATGGCAGCCTCCATACGTTTCTCATGACAGGGTCACTTTAAAGGAGCTTCTCTGACATAAAGGAAAATCAGCTCAGTAATCTAAAGAATTGTGACTCATTCCCACTATACATGTATGCACATGCAGTCACTGCAGCTAATAAAAAAGAACAACCTTTTGGTATCTGCAAAAGAAAACAGGAGGCCTGAATAGACAGCTTGCAATGAATATTAATGTGACTGTGCTTTTACTCTTCAAAAGAGTGTGTGAGAACTAATGACGCAAATCCTAATATACACTTGTCTGTCCTACCCAGAAATCACAGTAACCAGGGGACAATAAAATATGGACATGTGCGTTTAGTATCACTAAAAAAAAATCTAAAATATGTCATATATAATACATCCACAAGAGGTTTTCAAAAATAATGTAACATTTAATAGAACTAGGGCCGCTGACAGTCATTAAGGTTTAAGGTACGATAGCATGTAATACATTGTATGCACATTTCTATAAAGAACAGTTAGTTGTACAGTATAAAAATATTGTAGGCATAGCACTGTAGATTCTACTTCCATTAGCTTACAAATGTATATTACAAATGTTATTTTTTTGTAAATGGCAAACTTCTAAAAAAATACAGTAGAGTGCACAATGTTCACACTTAGCTGGGTGATATTGTCATCATTTTATTCTGCAATCGAAATCAAGTTTTTTTTTTTTTTTTACATTTCCCTGCGCAGTATGAGGTGTGCAATGTGAACACAGGTACACTTGTGTTCCCATGATCTTAGGAGCTCATTTGCACTACTACAAACTCATGCATTTAATCACTTGGTTTTTATCACCTTATTTTTAAAGCCTAAGGCAGGCCATAGATGATGATTTTCTTTTCTGCAAACTCTGAAAATCGCTCAATTCCCCTATCAACATCGTCAGTGTTGATTGTGTTCTCTTGGCGGGGGGAGCTGTCCCTGCCGGGAGAACACAGTGATTACTGCTGACGGCTATAGCCGCTGGCAATAATCACATAATAAAAATCCGACATGCTTGTTGTATCCAAGTCGATCGATGGATTGATTTGGGTACAATCAGCCTGCCCATGAATCTCGGCCGGTTCAGCAGAGATTCTAACCATCTATGGCTGGCCTAAGTTTAGAGGGATGGCAGGCCCACCCTTTCAGCTTCCTCTCCTATTTATAGAAGCTGTACTATAGTTTTTATCTATGAATGAAGGACAGGTGAATGAATGAAAGGTCCACCTCCTTCATTCATAGTGCACTTTTCATTGATAGCAGCTATAGTACAGCTTCTATAAATGAAGGAGGGCCGCAGGAAGGGTGGGCATAGTAGGTACTCTTGACAAGTGCCTATGATAGGTACAGTGTCTATAGTAACCCCCGCAGCAATGGCAGGTTACTGTTGAGGGAGGAAGATTTCAGTTAAGAGACTGGCCAACAGCATAAGGGACACTTCTCATTGAATGTAAGCACCTTCCCTGGTGTTGATTAAAAAAAAAAAAATTTAGGCTTTAACCCTTTTGCCATCACAGGCGTACAAACTACGCTGGTGGCAGCAGGGGGTTTTACACACACTCCCAGCAGCTTCAGGAACTGACAAGCCAACTGCCAGC